GAAGTGTTGCCTATATGAATTAAATCAGATGAAACTGGAAGGAAAATGGATCGAGCTTTAATTAAGGCTGTTGGATTTGTTTGATCACATAAAGCATTTTCAAGAAGAGTCTGTGCATTCAAATTTGGGATAGGTAGGGCTTGGGTCATTGTAAGCGTACCTGGCGGTTAGATCGAGAGGAGTAGCTGATAGTTAACAATGAGGAGCTCTCTGGAAAGAGCATTTTCTGTTACAACTTCAGTCGAAATGCCAGGCTCGTAATCCAGTCAAAATGAACTCTGTTATTTTTTTACCTTGTTATTATGCATTGGAAATTCACAGCAAAACATCTGTGCATGTAGAAAAGGCAGTATTTAGACAACTGTTTCTTTAAAATTTGAATATTTAAACTGCAGCAATGAATTCTAATAGCTTCATGTAAAAACAAATATTCATGAGTACAGATTTTTTTATTGCTATGTGAATAGATTTAGTTTGCATAGTTGAAGATATTGGAATGTGGGGTTTTTTGTTTGCATGTTTCTAAACAACATTTTATATAAGTGGAGTTTTTTCTCTCTTTTTTGTTCCTTTAAATAGCTGGAAACTATACAAGCACAGCTGGATTCCCTTACATGATGTTTTCGAAGACTTATTTCTCCATCACACTCCTGCCACCTCATTATTTTGCATTGAAGATAGATTGCCAAGCTGTGTTTGCTGAAGGATTCAGTGGGTTGCTTCCTGTAAAATTATATGGCTTATCTCCTTTTTAGACAGTAACATTAGCCAAGAGTCTTTGTTAAGAGTCTGAAGATTCTAATGGACTTTCTCTTGTTTTCTGAGCAATTGTGAAGAATGGCTTTACTTGCAGAAAAGAAAAAAAAAGAATGCTACTCTGCTTCAGAGATTTTTTTTTTTTTTTTTGTCCTGTTACGTGTGTTTCTTGATTCTGGTAGAAATTTGCATACTAGTGAGGGACCAGGAATAAAATCTATTTTTTAGGCATAAAAGGAATGTAAAGGTAGTAAGAAAATACACAGCTAATAAAACCTCTATCCTTTTGAATTGCTATTCACATGATTGATAATGCTTATTGCAAATTTGTCAAAATAAATGCAGAGTTTAAAAATCGATTTGTTTAGTTTGGGCTATTTTAACTTCATTATCTTTGTTCTTTTTTAGTAGTTTTTTTTTTTCTTCTAAATAATCAACAATGTCACTGATTTCAGTGTTTACTGTTGGCACAGAGAATAAGTACAGCTTCTTAGCACTGCATGCATACCAATGAATCTAAGCAGTATGGTGTATAACTGGGGGGAGAAATCTCAGAGTATATAACAAAGAACACTGAAATAGTCTGACAGTCAGATTTCTGAAAGCTATTTGTTGATCCTTCCTAATGTTGTCCACCACCATTTTTACATCGAACAGGCAGAAATAAAGTACGGTGACTTAAAGGCCAAGTTAGTCATATTTTCACACATTAGTTCCAGATGAACAGAGGTTCATGAGCAATATGAGAAGGTAAAAGTCATCTTAGTTCTTGTTTGTTGCCATTCATTGACAGGCAACTTCATTGCTGCACCTTGACAATGGGCACAGTATACAACTCTCTACTCCGGCCTAATAGAAGGTGAGAGGAAATAAAAATCTTTCGCATTAGCTTGTCTTTCTTCCTCCTTAAGTGATTCCCTGAACAAGGCTTTTTTCTTCCAGATCCCTAAAGCAGGGATGGTTTATACCCAACGAGCCAGTTTTCTTTTGAGGTTTGTTTGCTTGTGACACTAGATATAAGGGTAGCCAAAATGTATGTTTTGAATAGCTGGTGTTTAAGTCCTCTTGTGCCAGATTTATTGCTTTGTTGCTTTTGGAGGGTTGTTTTGGACTGCTTGTGTTGCTTTATTAGGGATTGTGCTCTCACCTCTAGAATACTGAAGGGGTCTGCACCAGTTGTGGTGAGGTAACAGATTTAGAAGATAAAGTCATTAACAGCCTACGTGTGAGTAAAGGGCACTGAAGAGAAAAACCACGTTTATCATAGTCCTTAACTGAAACGCCAGACGATACTGTACCACTCTAAGGTAAGGTAACACTATTACCCTGTTGGAAAGCAGAAATGACTGACTGTTGCATGGCAGAATCTTACCCTGCACACCTTGTGAGGCTGGCTGCCAAAATCAAGTCTTGTCTCAAGCCACTGGCAAACGTGCCTTACTGTCTGGGGATATAACACTCCCACCCACAGACATCATGTCCTCAGTCTGGCTATTCAGCAGCCGCTTGCCGGCTCGCTCATCTCAGGCTGCATAGGTTGGTGTGTGTCTGCAGGTGAGCACATCCCCACCATTCCCTCTGCCTTGCCAGCGTTAGCAGTGCTTTGTAGTTGCGCAGCTAGGAAAATCCCATTCTTCTTGACACTTAGGTTCTGGTTTCTCTAGTGGTCCTGTGGGACAGTATGTTGTGTGCTAGGACACTGCTCTTGAGTGTTTTCCCTGCGTTTCCAGAGCTTAAGTTCTGGAAGTCAGGTCTGAAGCGAGTTGAAGACTCTCCTGTGTGGATGCAGGACATATTAAGGCAGTTGACTGAGTGTGAGAGAGGGGTTAAGTTATCTTTGTGAATATAGGCAGAGATTGATGAATCCTGGAGGAGGGGGTGAAGGCAGGACCAGTTTGGAGTGCAAGAAGCATTGGACAAATTAGCAGGCACATCTGAAAAAAAGATAAGTGAAAGACAGAGTAGGAAGAAACTGGGCGTGGGAAAAAGGAAGGAGAGGACAGAATAATGGGTACTCCCAAGGGTAGAATTTGGGAGTTGGAAAACTATAAGGAAGAGAGGAGGAACACTGGAAAAGACAGCAAAAGTATATATTCAAAGAAAATACTAGGCAAAGGGGGAAAAAATCCTTATATAGTAGGGGAATGGGAAGAAAATTGGGGAAACAAAGTAAACCAGAGTTAACTATGAAAACTGTGGCCAGTTGTGTAACTGTATCTAGTATTTTGAACTAACCCGTAAGTGTCAGCCTTGGTGCAAATTTGGCCAAAATCAAGTAAAAGTGTGGGATGACAAAGAAGAGCATTTTAAATCTGGCTTTAATAGGAAATGTTTTCAAAGTGATAAAATGTATGCTAAAGGAAAAAATAGAAAAAACAAAGCCTAAGATGGCAAGGATTCTGTAAAATTTATTAAGTGTTCATCCTTGTTTACAGATGGAGGAAGAGATTTATGATTTCTTTAGCAGTGGTTGCCTTTTCTTTTTTACTAAATGTACTGAATTTCTTGCTGTCAGAAGCCTTAATAAAAGCCATAGTACCTCATGGTAGGAAGTACAGTTGTTATCTTTTGTCAAGGAGCACTCATAAACAAACATTTAGTTTAGAAAGACTTTTCTGTATGTGACGTGAAGCTTTGGGGTTGTACATTATTAGGTAGTGATGGCATAACTAGTACCATCTTAAAGAAGAGCATTGTCACTTATTTAAGTGCTCCTGTGTAAGGAGAGAAAATTGACTAACTGTGAAAGAGCAGAACTACTTCAGGTTTTTTTCATTAGGTCTTGCAGAAAAGAAGGCTTTTGTTCTGGTTGCTGCTCTCTGGCCTGAGTGGACCTGGAGAGGGGAAGATTGGTCTTCCCCTGAGAGCAGCTGCCCCTGCTTACTTTGGATAAAGTCCTGGTGTCCCAGCAGTGTCAGGGAACGAGAGAAAAACAAGCACCAGTACGGACTGGGGGATGCCTGAGGAGAATGGGAGACCTGCTTGCAGCAGGGACTAGACCCACTGCCATACCTCAGGGGCGGTGGAAAGAAAAACACTTTCCTGGGAGGAAGAAGGAATGTAGCCTATGCAGAACTGAATGTACCAGGTTGGTGTGGGAGCATAGGCAGGGATGTGCATGCTGAAGGTCTTCAAGCTTTTGTTTTGCATTCTGGTAAAACATAGTTTTGAGGAGTGAGTCTTGTGGGTATTTTTGAGTTTTTACTGCAGGAAAGGAAAGGAATACGTCCCAGGCTGTCTTCAGGGTCCTAGCAAAGCATTGGTCTGTAATATATCTTGGACATGATCCAGAACTGAAATTACCAAGGCTTCTGATAGTGTTGAAGGAAGATATTTGCAGAGATTTACTGAGCTCTAAAACTGGAAATTTGAATGAGTAAGAATTACTAAATCTACTTTCAGATCTTTCAGTGCATTTTAAAAACATTTGATTAATCTTTGCTCAGACACTAAAGACAGTATTTTCTGTGACTGTACTTCTCTCAAAGCTATAATATAAAAATCTGCCTCAAACGGACCATTGGCAAAAGAAAGAAATCTTTTCGTTTGGGTGTAAACAAGCATCAGTATTGTTTTGACATGAAGACTTGGAGTTCTGGGTCTAAAATGAAAACCAGTGTGACAACTACCTTGAAAATACCAGCTTACTGGTAAAGAGCAACCATTTGTACATCATTTAGCAAAACCAACACTAATAGCACATTAATGCATGTTGAGTACAAATGTGTTAGATTATCTTTGCCCAGTTCAGCCTTAGGCATGTACTTCTTATTTCTCAACAAAATATGAAATGTTTGTAGGTTTCTGCATTCTATTTTTGTTGAAATAAAGTATGTAGGTAGATAGACAAATATAACTTTACTATCTCAAATTTTGACTAATTGCCAAACCTGCTTTGGCTCTCCAGAGGAGGCTTTCAAAGCCCCCTTTAATTCCTGGGTTTATTGACACATCAATTTTGAGTTACGACTTGCAGCTTCATTTCCTCCAGTCTGTGATTTTAAAGACTCTAAAGTCTTGTTCTTTCAAAGCATGAAGAATTTACTGAAATGCTAAGTCTTACATTGATGAAAGGAAGAAAAGTGTTTATTGTGATAAAATGGTATAAGCTCCCCATCACACTTGTTCCATCTCATATTCTCTGATTTCCAACAACATCAGTAACATTTCATTGTTTGGCTATATTGGCATATCATATCTCCAAAGATTATGAATTCACTCACATTACAGTAAAGAAATGACAGAGCTTAATAATGCCTATTGCCCAGTGAATAAGTATCACATCATTTTATGACCCTTGTATAGCTTATTTGACTAATGAAAATGAACAACACTGAGCCAGTGTGAGAAAGTTCCTTTTCTGTGGATCAGCCAAACTGGCCTTCTGAAAAACAGTGATTTCATCTAGGTGGATGAACTACGGTGCTGCTGTCTGATATGATGTTGATGGTGTCTCATAAAGATAAGCTAATAAGATGCTTTTATCTGCAACTCTTGCATAAAGTGATTTCTAATTTCCATAGTAATTAATCAATTTTATTGGATTTTCCCTTTGCCTTTGTAATTGTGTTGATCCGACCAAATTATACACTGTAATTTTAACGGAAATAAAGTGTTTAGATGATCCCTTCATTTGTTCATTATTTTGTTTCTCAAGAAACAGGAGAAAATATTGGTCTGTTACAAACCAGATGCTGTCCAGCTGTGTTGAGCTATGTATCCAGGAAGCATTTGTCCCTCTCACTGACAAGATTAGTTCCTTCTCTACAAACTCCACAATATCTTCCATGGTTTCCCAAGGTTTTCTCTATTTACTGAAATCATAGGAAGGCAACATGGAGCTCTACACATGTTGGAAGCATAACTGTCTTGACCGGCTGTTCAAATAAGATGGATCACCTTGTTAGAGCAAATTCCTCTTCCAGTGGGACACTTTTAACTACTTGTTATCACTGTTACCTTGACTGTCCCTCTGTGGTAATATACAGCATACCTTCAAGGAAATCTGGACAAATGTAGTATCTGTCTCTGAGATGACTGTACAGATTCACATGCGCAGGCAGCTGGCCTCTTCTGTAGAGTACTAGTTATGGGATTGGACATGCTGGAGCACAAGATCATCTTTTTTGGAATTCACCCCGTCATTCAGGACGAGTGAAGGAAGGAGAAGCAGCATTCCCTGGTCAGTGCTAATGAGACTCCTCACATCTGCGCTGTGTTGGAAGGTTCATCCCATGAGGATTAATATGAAGAGCTCTGTGTACAGGTGAGCTGACTTTGTTTCTTCTCATTCCAATCCACAGGTTCAATAGTAGGGCAAGTTAACTAAATTGCATTTCATGGGCAGCATAAGAATGCTGTGCTTTCTCCATCACCCACTTGTTTGTTTTTCTGCCTCCAGACTGTTAAGAAATGCAGCTTTGTTAAAAAAGAAAAAAAAAAAAGAAAAAAAAAGGCAGTTTGGTTTAAGAAATTGTGCAATTAATGTATACAGTAAGCGTTTTGAAGAAGGTTTGCTTTCCTGGATTTGTTTCTACTTTTGAAGTTTTTGCCGTAGCCAATATCCTTGTAGGCAGCAGAGAATGAATCTGAGCAAAGCCCAGGGGAGTGAGGAAAGGACGATGTCTCCTGTTCCACCCACTGGTCCCTGTTGAGCATTGGGTTGCAGCTTAGCCTATGAGCCTTGGCTTGCATCTCAGACTGCCAGTTAGGTGAGCTCTGCCTCTTTCCTGGGCAACAGTGAGTCAGGAAAGGATTAGAGAAGCTGACTGCGCTGGGCAAAACATAGCCCGGACTGAACGTTGTTAGCTTCGCTCTTCACTTCAGAAGGGATGAGAATATTTTCTTCATGACAAGTAGCACTTTTGCCCAGATCTCCTTCGTCTGAGGAATGAGGTCAGAGGAGTAGTGCTTTGCATCCCTGATGTCTCAGTCAGGAGCTATGCCTTGTGATGGTGGGTCTCTGCCATCTTCTCCTCTTCTAATTCCTAACCCATCCCTGCCAGTTCCAGCTCATACACAGTCTGGAGACAGGCAGCGCAGACCTCAAGAACAAAAAAGGACCTTTCTCCTCCCCTGCTTCATCTCTGCTCCCAAGGGGACCCCTTCTCCTATCTCAGACCAGCATTCAAGCACAGCTCCAGGTAGGGTAAAGCTTCCATGGAGGTTGTCCTAGCGCCCCAAGTTTGATACTCATTTTGAGAGAGTCCCAGAAAAGATCTGTATGAGAAGGGAAGTAAAACAAGACCAGCCTTTTGGGACAGGGGAATCATTAACCATTTCTGGAGCAAACTCTCAGTCCAACCTATAAGTGGTCCAATTGCTCCTTTGCAGCCAAACTCCTTACATGAATAAAATCATCCCTGTTTCCCCATATCATCCTTATGGATTGCAGCAAGCTAAATCATCCTTAGAATCTGATTTAGGGCAACATAAGTGAAGTACATCAGATAAATGTAGAAAAAACAAGCCCATAAATGTGAGCTGATCCCTTTGGAGCTGGGTTCACTCACTATCTCTCACAGGATGAATGGCAGTGGTCCAAGTTTCTTACAAAATCTGATACTAAATAATCTTTAAAAAAAATATATATAAAGGGCCAAAAAGGAAAAAGAAGCGGAGCAGAATCTCCTTTAAGCAAGAGAGCACAGTATATCACAGAGGACACTTGCAGTGAAGTGGAGTTTTCTCAGTTCTTATTTGGGCAACACAGAATGCATGCACTCTTCATTGCAACACCCAGTGAGTGACTTGGGGTCCTTTTAATGGCCTTCTGCACCTGAACTGCAGCTTCCCATACCCTGTCAGATGTCACCCTTGCATCTGCCTATCGAAAATCTGTTTAGTAGCCTACTGATTGATTCCTTTGTGTCTCTAGTCAGTAGAAGGCTGAATGTATGTTAGGACAGAGGACACAAGGCCCTGAAGCCCTTCTGTATGTTAGGACAGAGGACACAAGGCCCTGAATGACCTTGTGCACAGCTGAGCAGTGCTGCTCTTACCTGCCTCTGCAAACAGTGCCCAACTGGGAAGGCAAAGCGCTTGGGTTAGTGTCTTTCTGGCTGAACAGGCTGTTTGTTAGAGTTGACAGACCAAGTTTTGGATTGGTGAATGTCTATTTCTCAGCATTGAAGTCGGTGAGTTTTGAGATCAGTCTTCTCTTGGGAACAGAGAGGTTTTAAATGAATATTCAGTTGAAATGGTCAATATGAAAGAGAAGCCAAAGGTGGAGCTTACTCTGGTGCCTGGAGCAAAGTTCATGGTTTAACTACTATGCTAGATGAATAAAATCTACCCTTGAGTTCCTTCTAGGAGGGCCTGGATATGAATGTGTAAGAGTATCTGAGCAAAAGGTCATATCCCTGTGGTATAATGATTTCAGCATGTTGGAAGAAAGGAAATTTCCTATTAATCAACCTTATTCCAGCATGCAAGGTCACAAAGCATGAACTTGGAACCTCATTCTGCATTTCATAGCTCTGCCTAAATCAAACCCAGGCTGCAGACACAACTGTACTTTTTATTTGCCAGAGTAGCCCCTTTGTCATAGCTATCTTCAGTCAAGTGATTTCAGTGGTTTCAAATCAGATAGTGCCTTCAGCTGCTGTGTTAGCTCACTTCTGCATCAAAAGTAATAGTTCCTCCCTTGAAAATCCAGCCCTTGAGAGCTCTGTCAGCCTCCAGATAAAGTAGCCACATCTCTTGTATAAAGAGATACAAGAGATCTTCATATCACTTGTATGAAGATCTGCTCTACCTCTTGACCATCAATACATATGTTCAACAAATACTTGATACTGGCTTTGGTTAAAAGCATTTGATGATTTTCTTTAGTTTGACAGAATCTTTATGATGACTTGGTGACCAGGCAAAGATACTACAGATTTCTTTGCATAGTCTTTTCTCCTTGTTTCTCCCTTTTCTCCTTATATTTCTACCATATTTGAAAGCTGATCCTTTTCCCAGTCTGGGAACACGGTGCTGCGATAATCCCCCAGTAACTGTTCAATGGGCATAAGCATGAGGAAGAACAGGAAAACGCAACTGCGCCAACCTGTAACCACACTTGGTCTTCAAGGAAGGATCTGCTTGGAGAATAAACAATTAGAAATGGATTTCCAAAGATTTAGATTAACTGATTTGAAATGGAATGGCTGTGCATGGCTGTCCCCAGGTGCAAGCTGGCTGAAATCCTGCTGTCGTGGATCTTACTAACAGCACGTAATCTGAAAAGCGCAGATACCTTTCCCTAGTCTGTGGTCTTTAAGCCATCAGATATTATGAACATGATCTCTGAGGACGGTTCTAAAGTCCCAGTAAGAATGATGCATCCCGCTAAACCATGAACTGCAGTTCTGGTGCTCCCTTGGATTTCATGAAAAGCTTCCTCCAAGCTTGCTAGTCTCTTCTTTGCCCTCTTTGCTGACAGATTCTGTCTTTTACTGTTTTTATCTTGGCTCACTGCATCTTGAGCTGACTGTTTTTGCCCATAATTTGCCCTACGCTCTTAAGTTGTAATTAACATTTTG